GTGTCTAAATCCAGGCTACAAGGGTGCCACAGGCATCTCAAGGTCCATAGGCATTTTGCCTGAATCTGCAAATTCAGTTGATAGCTTAGGTGTTCACCAACACACACAGCCTTGCGGTTAGTAATGCTTAGTGTAAGAATCACACCTGAGGTTCTTCGTGGTTTGCGAATGGTTGGTTGGTTATGCTCTTCTTCAGTTGTGGTCAGCCTCTTAAGTTTTGAACTCTGGTCCCAGGTTCTGAATTATACAGGCTTTTCCTGGCATATTCGTGTGTAGATGGCACTGTTTCATATAAATAATAAGTAGCCCTTAACATCTTGGGGCTTTCTCATTTTCTTTTCCCCATCTCCAGATTGGTTCAATATCTGCTTTTCCCCCTGTCTAAAAAAGGGTCATGGGGTGAACACCTTCTCTCTAACATCTCTCTGTAAAACTTCACCACTGTGTTCTTTCCCGTTGTTTGGGAGCTGCTAACCTAGAAAACAAATTCCTAACATGAGAAGTTGAAGTAACCAGTGTACAATACAAAAATGAATACTAGGATAGCAAAAGTTGGGAGTGCACGTCAAATTCTGTTGCTGAAACAAATTTTAAAAACTGTGCTTATTTAAGCACATGTCTCTGCTTATATGAGACTGATTATATTTTGAAAACAATGTAAAGGTTATATTTTACTTGATTCAAATTTTAGCAAGAGAAATAGCAGTAGGTATTTGTATAGCTTTAGGAGTCTTTTAAGGACAGAGTTTGCTGAATTTGGTATACTGGGCAGCCTTAAGAAGAGCGAGCCTGCGGGAAATCTTTCTGCTGATTACAGCTACAGAATGGGAGGGTGTGGGAGAGAACTGAGCCAAACTGTCTCAGAGGTGCACAAGAGGCAGTGGGGACAGACTGGGACAAGGGAAGTTGCAACTTGGTAAAAGGGGGAAAAAACCCCACAACAAACAAATAAACAAAAAATCAAAATTACCATGAGGGTTTTCAACCACAAGAAGGAGTCCAGAGAGACTGGAATCTCCATCCTTGGAAATGTTCAAAATTCACCCAGACAAGGCCCCCAAGACACCCTGTTCTCACTACACTTGCTTTGCACTGGAGGTTTGACTGCATGACCTCTCTCTGAAAGGTCTCTTTGAACCTATGTGATTCTGTGCTGCTGTGATTTAATACTGGCTTTACATATTCTAAATAGTATTTTAAAATAAACTACAAAATCATGTAATACCTGTTGTACCAGTTGGTGTATCTTTATTTCTACTCACGAAAGTATCAGTGCGTTCTGTTTATATAATCCTGTCAACAGAAAACTGTGGTAGTCTGTCATACAATCCATCATCCTTTGTCATCCTTAGTTTTGCTCTTTCTTTCCAGCTTGCAAATGAATTTCCTCTGTGTTTTCTGTATTCTTTATTAACCATTTGTTGTCTTTTTATATTGATTTTGTTGCTTTTTGCACTCAACATCAGTGTCAAGTCCTGGTTTTGAATGGTCACAACTTGGAGGAACGTATAAAGTCAATTGCTTTAGGATGTCATTCTTAAGAAGAGAAAATGGCCTCCCAAAATGTGTCTAGCCACAATTATGGGAAAGCATTAGACTATAAGGGTTTTCCCTGTTTGGATCATGAAGCAGGAGAAGAGCACTCTAATAATATTGAAGTAGTTCACGGTAGCCCCAGCTGTAGGTCAGGACACTACTACTCTGGTTGCTCTCCAAGTACATAACAAAAAAGGTGGGCTTTGCCTCGAAGAGTGTACCAACTCTTCTGTGCCTGATGGACTGGAAGCTGAACTTGCCTGTAGGAGGGGCACAGCTGTTAGGTGGAGGAGCTTCATGTTCTGGTTTAGGGTAAATAAGTCCATCTCCATGAATGCTGTGATGTGAGTGTGATTGAATTGGATGGAGAAGAAAGATGCCAGACTGGAGAAAGGGGGCTTCTCATAAACTGGCCTTATTTCCCCTACTCTATTTTCTGTATTTCCCCTGTAGATTTATGTCAGCGTACTTGTTTTGGAGATTATGAAGCTGAAAGTCGTGTTTATTCTGGCTGGATGATGGACTTTTTTTTGCCACCATTTTCTTTTATGTAAAACCCTGTAGTGTGATGTACTGAGTATTCTATTATGGGAAGACCTATTTGAAATTTCACGTGGGTAAGGTTTGGTTTTTGCTCTTTTAGACATGATGTGAGCAAGCTCCTGCAGTCAGGTATACCTCTGTGTTGTGCCTTGGAGTTGGTACTCAGCTTCATTTCTCACGTGTTGTGGAAGTGTGAGGCCATTGCTCCATTTCCTTGACTCGCTTGAATTCAACATGCAATCTTGTCGCTAAAAGTAAACAGATAAAATAATCTCTGGGACAGTTCCAGTGACTTGTGACTTTCCATTCTTCCAATAAGAGTAGAGGGGAAGGAGGAGAATGGGGTTTATTTGAATGTTTGAGCTGTAAGTCGTTTAGATCATTGTTAAATTTGTTGCGTGGTGGGCAGAAAGGGAGTGTCCTAAGAGGTGGTTTGGTAGTAATACCGGCATAGTTTACTATGGAGCCATACTGTAAGCCAGCGTCAGTCATCCCCTCTTCGTATCAGGAGCCGGCTGTGCAAAAACCATTAAAGGAAGGGCTTTTTTTTAGCCAAATTTTATTGCAGTAGCAGATTCATTGATCATTAGATATTGCCAGTGGATGTAGATACCACCTTGGGTTTTTTTAAACTTTTTACCTTTACTGCTCTTTAAAAGAAAGAAAGAGAAAGAAAGATGTGCTGCACTACTACAGTGTTGCCCTTGGCAGGGTTTTTCATCTTGAAATGGCATATAAATGAATAAATGCTTCAGTTGTTTTTGCAGTTTTAAATCTTTTGCCATAAGTAGAAGTAATATTTTGCTCAAGAGTGTCACATAATTGCAAACTTAAACTGTCATCATTAAACATTATTTTGTTAAGATAGTGTGATGTATATTTGGGGTTATTATGCTTTCTAACTGGCTTTTAAACAGCCATGTTTATATATTTTCTTGGTTTATGTAGCATGTGCTCAAATGTATTGAGATAGGATCATGCCTTTGAGGTTTATTGTGTTATTTTGAGTTGGGACCATATCACTTCCTGACAGATGAAATGGATCTGCAGAATAATTATGGCCTCACTCTTAGTTAAACAAAAATTGTGGGTTTAT